TGGGTGGGATATCTTGGTCGGATGCAGCATGCAAGGCAATCTCTCGGCCAAAATTCCCAAATAATTCAGGATTCAGACCAAAAATACCCAGGGGTTTAAACAAAGCCTGTTCCAAACACAAAAGCTTTCACTGCAATCTTCTAGAAGACTGGAAGAAAGGATTAAGTTATATATAAAGATTTGCGAAGCCTTGCCAGAGTACGGTGTTTGAGAGGCGAGCTAGAAGCACATGCTCGGGTTTTTTTCTGAAGGTCAATTAATGTGTCGAAGGGTGTGTTTTTAAATAATAATAATAAAAATCGAGCCAATTTTGCAAAGCCTGGTAAAAGTACTTTGAAGGTCCCAACCTGCTTCTGACTTCTCCTGCCAGCCCTTCTGCTTTTACCATTAGTTCTTTATTTTTAACAGTTTTCCCCCTCTCTTCCAGCTGCTGTATTTGAGAACACGGAGAGCTGCCTTATCTGGGACAGGGGACGGAAGCTGCTGCAGAAAACAAAGCTGTTAACTCCACCGAGCAAACCAAAAAGGAAAAATAAACAACTTTTCCCCCATATATAATTAGCTAACATGGTATTTCCCCAACACCGTGTTTGGAAAGGGAACGAGCAGGGAGAGGAGTTGGATCAAAAGTCCAGGAAAAATAAATATGAAGTGCAAAATAAATACTAACTGCAGTAACTTTTGCTTTTTCAGGCAATTTCTGGGGTTGCAAACCCCAGCCTGCCATACAGCAAGGCTCACCCAGCTGAAGCGGAGCTCTGTACCCCACACAGAAGGATTAACAGCAGCCAACAATTAGCCAGGCTACGGGAAGATTCATATTATTAAAATGTGTTACAAATTGAGGAAACATGAACATCTGACGGCGAAGACAAGACAGAATATTTTTGAACGCGACAGAAGAAGGAAAGCCAGAAACTGGAGCGTTGCTCTTGTCTCCCAAATTTCAGTAAATCAAATTATACCGGTGGGGACTGCGCTGGTGCTGGGCTATGGGTTCATACGAAATGGGTCACACTACCTCTGGATATATTAATTTAAATCTCCACAAATTATAGGGTCATTCTGGGGGGCCAAGGCCAGGAACTGGTTGTGAAAAATGTGTCTAAACAGCCTGGTGATGATTTTCACTGCTGAGAGGCAAGCAAACAGCTTTCTGTTCTCTTTAAATTGAAAAAAAAAAACCTGTAATCCAGGCTGGGGGGCACATTAACGAAAAGAAAAACACAAATCTCACTTTACAACTGTAATTTGCTTTAGATGTAATCAGATGCAGGGCTAATACAGAGACATTCGGGTTCAAACAAAATCACGGGGCGTTCGCAGCCCTGCACAGCCACTCCGTCCCCTATTAAAATCTCATTTTCCACCACCGTGCTCGCCCCGGAGGGTGCTAATGTGCCGGACCGGCGGGTGCAGAGGCAAAGCTTTTGTCCCTGAGCCTTACCAGTTTGCAAAGGGCAAATGCCAGAAGCAAGGAGGAAGGGGAAATATTTGTGTTCAAGCATTTGCCTTCAAGCATCCCCCACTGAGACGGTGAACCGGGGATGCGTTCTTGCAATCCTGCCGGCTGAGGATAACGAGGACCGGTCCGTGCGTGGCCAGCAAGGCGCTCACCCGATGATATTCTCCTTCTGAGCGAGACTATTGCGAGAGACTACTGCAGCTGGGGCCGCGGCACGAGGAGCAACCTGCAAAAGTCATCAGGGAGCTCGCCCAGCGTCACCCTGCCGCCCAGCTGCCCGCACGCGGATCAGATGCTGCTGCCCTGACATTGCTTTTTATGGTAACCTTCACACACGGCTCCCCATTATATTTAAATGCCGCGGCGGCTTACACGTCCTGGCTATGCCAGGCTCCAAGCATGGACTCACCATCTCCTGGGCTATGGCCTGCTGCTAAAATATCTCCTCCCTCTACATAAGGTCCAAAAATATGCCGTGAGAGGGCTAGGGAAATAGGGATGGGCAGTAAGGACTGCACGGAGGAAGGGAAGGGGTACCCGGGCTGAGAGGTCTCCTCGGTATAAAAGCATAGACGTTCTTTGCCAACGGCACACGCTTAATGTCAGCAGCTTGCGGTTGCAGCTTCTGCAGAACCTTCTCCCAATTATTAATGAGTTGGCAATGGAAAGGAAAGATCCCGTCAGGCCAGCGGCTCCCCGGTTTATTTTTGTGTTATATCCCTGATGGGGCGGGTTTGGTAACAGGGCACACAACCTCTTACCTCTCTGTATTGCACCCAAAAGCAGGGCAGGAGCAAGCTGCAGCTCACTAAGGACTACGGGGGTGAGGCGAGCTGCTCCTCCGCAATGAGCTGCTCCTCCACGACGCATCTCCGGGCCCGGGAAATGCTGGAGAAGACGGCCCAGAGCTGGGAAATCCTCCTTTCCCTGGTCTGCAGGGAGGTTGTGCACCAAACGCTGAGCCGTGGTTGTTCCCTTCAGAGCTGCCAAGCCACCAGCGTGGCCTGGATGTGGCCGTCGCTGCCCGCATATCCATCATCTCTTGGAAAACACTTATCAAGAAGATGCCTCAAAAATGCTAAGCCTTGCGTCAGTACCCAACACTAGCTTTTAAATGGCATTTTTCTGATGGCCCAGCTTTTGAGCCCTTTCTCTCGCACATTCTCTCATGCTCGGCACTTCCACGGTGCTCGTACATTAAAAGAGCCAGGAGACACCAGAGAATTAGCACGCAGCCATTTACATCTTACAAACTCGCTACCGCAGGGGAAGAGCAAACCCTTTAGCTCCGAAACACAGCAAGTGAGAACGCAGAAGACGATTAGCGACACAGTTTCCATTTACTTTGAAGTTAAATCTGGTTTTAAAAAGGAAAAAGGCTTGATTTTTAATTTTTTTTTCCCCCCAGTATCAACTCAGTGCGATTTTGCAGCCCATAATGGAAGGACACCATACTCTGGCAGCGCTTTAAAAAAATAGCTACAGCGCTGGATCTGAAGAGGCTGTTACTGTGTAGGCACAGCAACTACTGTCTCACAAGGACTTTTAATGCATAGATTATACGCTGCATTTCGGGGCAGGGGGCGGCTCAGTTTTTTTTCCCCCCAGTATCAACTCAGTGCGATTTTGCAGCCCATAATGGAAGGACACCATACTCTGGCAGCGCTTTAAAAAAATAGCTACAGCGCTGGATCTGAAGAGGCTGTTACTGTGTAGGCACAGCAACTACTGTCTCACAAGGACTTTTAATGCATAGATTATACGCTGCATTTCGGGGCAGGGGGCGGCTCAGCTCCACAGCTCCTCGGATCTGCAGCCGTGCCGGGCACGGCCGCCCAGCTCCGGGTGCCCCAGGCTCCAGCATTAAGTGATGGGTTCCTAAGGCATGTGCACGAGGGCTTGAACCACCCCCCAGAGATGCTCGAGGGGTTTTAAGGGCTGCAAGCAGCAAAACTGAAACCCACTTGAGTTCTTCCTGAGCAGCGACAGCCGAGCAGCGAAGCGGCATGGTGATTTCTAAGTGGCTTGCAAACCCCACGTGGCAGCTGAGGTTGTCTCGGTGCAGTGGTCCTTCACCACCAGAACCAGCAGGAAGGACTGGGCCAGCCGCAGCTCCTCCCAACCCCGCCAGCGTGCCGACCGAGCTCTCCCCATGCCGAGCGAGCTCTCCCTGAGAGCACCTGGTTTAATTTTCATGCAGGATTAGCTCAGCTCAAGCAGGGAGGGATGCTCCTTCCTTGGACTGATCTGGATTGAGGTGAAGCTGCCTCTGGCTCCTGAAGGAATTACTCCATAAGAATTCCCTATTAACCCAGCAGCTCTGAAATTCCCCTGGAGTTCAGAGAGAAGTGGGTTTCTTGCCCACGTTGAAGTCCTGCCCGGGTTTTTCTCCCTGTGTTTACAGAAATAGGATCTCAAGCCAAGTGCCAGGGGTGGTAAACACGCGTGAAGGGTGATAGGGAGATACAGCCTCCGCCACTGCCAAGTTATTCTGATGACTTAATAAATTGCTGCATTTCACATGTCACCCCAGTGTCTTTGCAAATATCTCATGCATGTTATTTACAGATGCTCCTCGTGGAAAGCCTGGCAGAAAGGCCGTCTACAAACCCTCCAAAAGCTGCTGCCATCCACAAACACGTCCCTCAGTCTCCCAAGCCCTGCAAGAACAACCCTGCGAGGATCTCAAATCTTTTCCAAAGCCTTCGGCTAAGCATCGCAAACCCTCCCAGCAGCAGTGGTGCCAGCAGACAAGGGACGAGGTCCATCATTAATGCCATGGGGGGTGAGCAACATCCAAACAGTATGAGCCACCCTGGAGATGAAGCCTGAACAAATAAACTCAGAATTTTAGCATTTTAGCAGGACCAAGGAAGCCTCACAAGCAAACCCTGGTTGTTTCACCCATCCATTCCCCCCGCACATGGAGCAAGAGCAACGATTCCTCCTGCTGCAAAGTGCTCCGAGAAGCACAGACGAAAAGTCCTATAGTAGATGTGGGTATTTATCGATAAGCCCAGCACCATCCTCCTCCGTACGCTCCACCCAGACCCCGCTTTTGTAGGGGATGAGAGGGTCTGACAGCCGTAACCACTCACAAATCCCCAGGACCGCCCTCTGTTACTCGATATTTTCTTTTTTAACACAAAGCAAAGAAAATTGAAGCCGACTTAAAGAAAATTTGGTGGGTACGGGGCTAAAAGCACAGAGCAGGAGCGAAGGTAAAACAGCAGCACAGGGCATTAGAGCCCCCGCCACGAAAGCAGCTTGCAGAATAAGCCGCCGTTGTTCCCTGTCACTTTTTAGGCAAGGCTGCTGAGAGGGGATTACAGTACAGGCAGCTTAAGAGGAGCAGGTGAGGGGAGATACGCGGGGATAACTAAAAGAAAATACAAATTACTGTCTCCCTGCTGCTGCGGGGGGAGAGGGGGAATGTACCGGTGAACTCCTCTTAGGATGACAGTTTAGCCCTGGAAAAAATAATATAAATCACCCGGTTCTCTGAATTTTAAATCATGTTGCCACATCTCCACGCCAGCCTCCCTTCAGCTTCCCGTAATTAAAGGACAGGGCTAGAGAGACACTGCCATGGAAGATAAAAGCCACCAGTATTCCCGTCGCTGCCGGATTCGTTCGTTAGCCAGCCCAGCTGACAAGACTGGTGCTTGAAAATTGAAAACCTCTCTCTCTGGCGGGAGGCTGCTGGTGAGCCCAGTGCTCTTTGCAAGGATGCTCAGGAGCGGGACCGTCCCATCACCTCCCTGCCCAAGCGAGGTCCCCGAGCAGCCCGTCTTCTCCTCTCCATCCCCGCTGCCTGCCCCGATGCATCCCCAATGCTCGCCCTGCGGCTTCCTCCAGCCCCCATTTTTAATGTCAGCAATGCGAAAGAGGTGCTAGGGCTTTGGCACAGGGCAAAATAATGGTAAAACCTTTATTTCTCCCTGTTTGCAAGTGTCTCGAGCACTCTCGTTGGCAGCCCTGTGAGCTGGGCTAGGCTGGCGTGCATATGCACTCTTGCCTATGGCATTATTTTAGGGACAATGGCTTGGATAACGAAAGCAAAAGGAAGCGGACAGGATCTATGGTTGGCACCGGACAAGGAAAAAAGAAATAACAGAGCTGGGGAGCATCAGATGCAAAAGAAAGTGACGGTGGATGAGATGAGGAGGAAGTTTGGAGAGGCACAAGGATGGCTCAGCGCGAGGCCGAAGCATCTGGGCTATGTTCGGGGATGCCTGCCATTCCTCAGCCCGTGCCCACACGTCCGTCGTGGGCCCGTCCACCCACCAGGAAGGGGGAAATTAAAACCAGTCCTTCCGACTAGAGCGAAAAGGAACAGAAACGAAGACGACGGTACAAAAAAGCAGCGAGCTGGGGATTAGGCTGAGAGCCTCGCGCGGCGGGAGGGGGCCAGGCAGCCATGTGGCTAGCTTTGTGCATGAAATCCTCATTAGGGGCTCGTTAAGGACATGAAAGCGGCTTTTCCTGCTTCCGGTCCCCGGCACCCCTGGGGCCGCTCGCGGCCGGTTATCTGCTTCTGCTGCCGGGGAGGAAATACAGCTCGAGGGTTCACGTTAATGGCAGTTATGGGAAGAAGACGACGACCCCCCCCCTGCTCCGTGGATGCCAAGCACCGGTTGCTATCGCTGGCAGATATTTGCTGACATACAGCTCTAATTGAATTTATACATCAATCTGCTGCGAACGGCTCCTGGATTGTACCTCGGGGACCTCCCCGCTGCGCTGACACCCAGCCCCGGCTGATGGCACCCAGGCAGCAGCACCCGTTGCGATACCCCTCCCAAA